TTATACTTGAATAAACTGACCAAGAATCTTTTTAATTGGGAAAACAGAAAAAGACCTCTCAATTTCACAACAACAATGTGTAAGAAAGCTGAGGGTGTAGCTCAGTTGATAGAGCCCTTACCTAGCAGGCCTGAATCCCTGGATTTGATCCCCAGCACAGCATAAACTGTGTGTGGTGGCAGGAGGACCAGGTGTGTGTGTGTGTGTGTGTGTGTGTGTGTGTGTGTGTGTGTAAATCAGGCCAATTTCCTTGCTACTGAGTTATAAATAACTACATATGTGGAAAAATTCAGTATCTCTTTCACCTTTAAGAAGAAATATGAATGCATATAATTGAAGCTGTTTTTGATAAGCATTTGGATGCAGAGCCTCTTAACTCTCCTGAAAAACTGTTTTGTGGTCTGTTACAGGGAAAACAGTATGATACTTTAAAGACAAATTACTGGTTTATTTGTGACTATAGCTCACATCTATTTGGCAAGGCAGGAAGAGCAATGTTTCCCAGCAAGATGGTATGGGTCAGGGAAGGTCTTCTACTAGACTTATATTTGTTAGTTAAAATACACTAAGCATAATAACTCTGAATCTGAAGAGATCTTAGGAGGCAAATTTCATATCTCATATTGTAAATGTATATTTTGAGGCTTGGCCTAAAGAATATATGCGTATGTGCTGGAATGAAAGGTGTGTGACACCATGCTTGGCCCCACATTTTAAAATAGAAGGATATCATACAAGCTAAAATTTTGTATGAGTGGTCTGGGCATTCCAGGGTCCTCATTCCAAGCTCTTATTTGCCTCTGCTATTAATCAATTTTAAATGAGCTTTGATTGAACACTATTTGCTTGCTTGAGGCACTGTAACAAAATCTCATAGGCGCAGGGGCTCATATAGCATACATGCATCTCTTCCCTGGGTCCTGAGGCTAGAAATCTGAAGTCAAGTTTCTGCTAGAGGTGGTGTCTGGTGGGGCCTGTGCTTTGGAGATGCAGCCGTTCACTGTGTGCTCACACAGACCTCCTTGCTGTAGCCAGAGTCCAGGCTCTGTGCTGCCTCTTTTATAAAAGGGCCATTTCGTGGCATTAGGGTGCCACTCTCATGTCACCTCACTTCCTTCGAGACTTTACATCCAGGGTGGTTTGATTTTTGTCGTTGGTGGTGGTTGATTAGTTTGTTTGTTTGTTTTGTTTTAAGTTGGTAGATAACTGAGCTCATCCCAAACATTTTGGCTGAGGAAGAGATTTTTCATAGTCTCAGACCCCTCTGGCCTGACCAGAATCCATTGAGATCAAGAAGACAGAAAACACATGGAAAGAGGGTTGTCCCCACGGCCACTCAACAGGAGGGCAGCAGAGACAGACACTGGTCATGGCATGAGTGCATGTATGGAGACTCTTTCATAACTGGACTACCCTTTAAAGGAAAATTCAGAAATCACTGTGGCATATAGATTTTATGGTTAAACTTCTACATTTTTAAAATCCGGAATAGGACTTAAAGTGGAAATGCATTGGAATTCCTTTGAAATGCAGACTTGTACTGTGTTGACTGTGAATCTCAGAGTATATACTTACTACTTCAAATGGAGTGAGAAAATGGTCTGGTTCTATGGTAAGGACTTGAAGAGAATCTGGATCAAATGCCAGTGTTGTCTTTATAACCCCTATTATCATTATGTCTAATTGCACTTACATGGATGCTATTGTTCAATAACTTCTACTTTGACTTATGAGCAATGTGAATCCTCATTTTTCACTTGCAAATGCCATGGTAGAGTGTAACCAAAATCTTCCTGAGGTGACAGGGAAGGACCCTGGCACAGGCTCATTCCACCATTCACTCTGTGTGTGTGTGTGTGTGTGTGTGTGTGTGTGTGTGTGTGTGTGTGTCACACAACAGCTGTTGATTAAATATATGTGAGAGAAGAGATGAACAAGAGCTAAAGACAGAGACAGGGTCACAGGGTTATGTGGATGCTGGCTTACAAAGATGGAAGTGCTGCTGGCAGTGTTCTGCCTGGGGCTCTTCTGGCTCCAGGAGTCTGTCTGCTTTCTGAGTTCGTCCCAGAGGCCTGTGCATTAGTAGCACTGTAATTTAGTGGAGCAAAGTGTGCTAAGGCCAATGAGACTGGAAGAGAACTTTAGGCAGGCTCTGCAGGAAATAAGTGATGGCCTGAGTCCTTGGGTTCTGTGGCTGAGGTTCTAGCACACAGTCTCTTGTCTTCAGGCTTCTTTCCTGACTTATCAGGCTATGGGCCTTCTGTCTTTGCCCTTCTTCTCCTTGCTGTGATAAGGCCTCAGTTCTCTGAGGGTACAAGAACTTTCATAGAGCATGGTTAAGCCAGGGATGGTAGTGTGAGCCAAGGCACCTTGTTGGTGTATCCTTCAAGCACACCATTGTTTGTGCTTTCATGCAGGGAGCAGGACACTGTGCTGTTAGGTGACATTAAGGGCACATATGAATGGATGGAAGAAAGAGATCCAGGAGTCCCCAAGAAAGTATCATCAATTATGTCATAGGCACTTGTAGGAGAAGTGGAAAGAGAGTCTTCCCAGGCTACAGGCCAGGAAATGAGCATTCTATAACGGCAGATAACCTCTTTCTTTGAGCATGATTTTCTGAGTCTAAGAGTGGTACTGACTCAATGTAGGAACTTGGTGGTGCTTAAAGGCCATGGGAAAGTGCGACAAAACAAAATGAGGCGAAGAAGCTCCAGGTATTTGGGATTTGTACTCTGGCTTCAGTCAATCTTGGCCAAGTGCTGGCATGGGCACTTTTTTATTTCCATCCAAGCTTAGGGGCTATGCCAAAGGCCTACTGGAAGGTGGGTCTCAAGTATTATCTAGCTGCATTCTTCCTTGGCCTTTCCTGACCCAGAGACAGCTCAAGATCCTAAAAGTGCCTAAAGATGGAGAGACACTCTAAAGTTCTTACATGAGAGATTTGAGGGTTTGGGTAGGTTGGGGACTCAGAAGTGGATGGCTTTCATTATTTCCACAAGGTCCTGTTTCACCATTTCCCATCTTCTCCAAGCCTGGGTCAGCAGGATGATACTTCAGCACAATCCTCTTTCTCCAGGAGGCCATAGGCCAATGCGCAAAATTTTCCTGGCCACAGTCTGGCCAGCCTGCCTTCTTCCCATCTCTGCCTAAGAAGGGACAAGGATGAAGATCCCTTTGTCTATTTTATGTCTTGTGAGAATCCAGAGATTTGGAAAATGTCTATAATGCTGGAAGAAAAGATGGATCCCCAACAGAGTTACTCAGGGTATGAAAAGTGGGCAGTTCAGCATCTCAGGCCTGGACCACATCACTTCCTGGTCACCTTCTCCACTCATGTGCAAGCCCAGCTGAGATGCTGAGATTTTCCTGCTTCACTCTCTATCCAGAGCCTAGGCCAGGCATCCTTTGTATGACCTGGAGTGTGGTCAAGTGTCATCTTGTCTGCATAGCACCTGGCTCAGAACATAATCCAGAAAAGGGTGCTGTGGGAAGCCTGCTTCCATTCTCCTGCCCTCACTTGGCTCTGCAAAATGACCAATCAGGATTCTGTTTTTATTTGTTTGCTTTGGTTTTTCGAGACAACCTTTCTCTGTCTTGTCCTGGCTATCCTGGAAATTGTTCTTTAGAACAGGCTGACCTCAAACTCACAGAGATCTGCCTGCCTCTGCCTCCCAGGTGCTGGGTTCAAAGGTGTGCGCCACCACACTTGGCTACAGGACTCTGTTTTCTTCCAGCTTCTTCTGGGTTGTGTATATGTGACCTGATTTTCTGCATCTGGAGAAACCAGGAACAGATCCAAGTTCTCATGACCACCCCAATCCTAGGAACTGGCCTATATAGACTCTTGGCTTCCTGGGATGTGCTTTCTGTCTCTCATGGAGCCTGGGCCATCTGCTCCTTCCAGCATTAGACTTCCAGTATGGCCTCCATCACCCTGTCCATCATCCCCTTTCCTCTGGGACAGCAGGTCTCACACAGGGCTACACACCTACTATATCTTTTTTTTTTTTTACACCTACTATATCTTGATCCTGAATTGCTCACTCTATAGAAGATACAGGTGTACATCTAAAGGTGACTCGGGGCCCTCCATGAGTGTCACAAACCCAGAGGCACCTGGGCTCTGCAGGAAACATATGAACTGTAACAGGACCATATGTGTTCTGGGCAAAAGACAGAGTTACCCTGAGCTCTGAAAACTGTCACTGTGGAGAGGAAGACAGAGCTGTGAGTCCACATCTCTTGACATCTGGATGATTAAATAATTGCTTTAATTTTTTAAATATTGGCATTTGTTCCAAAACAATTAAAGCAATCTTTAATCCAAATCTCATACAAGCAAGGGCTCATTTTGAATGCTGGGCTGGTGGCTGACTTGGGAAGTACATAACCTGAGTGTTCTGCTTCAATCTGTAGGGTCAAACCATCTTTACTATCATCTCATTTCACAAGAAGGGACATGGAGCAAGGGGTAGAACAATTCACCGATGCCATTACAATTTAGAAAATGTTATTTGAGGCTGGAAGCCTCTGATGAGTTCCCCAAAATAAATCCCAGGTCTTTGTCTCCTTTTATAGTAAGACTGGGTTCGTATAGGACATGGTCAAGGCTCATATGAGTAGTTCTGTTTCAGTAAACATTGTATGTGCTTGGTGAGTATGTATTAGCTTATTCAACCATACAGCATCCTTGTTAGTTCATAATGGCATCTTTACTCTGGATTCAGATTAGAGGTTGGAGAGAGTTACTTTTCCAGGGCTTCTTAGTCTGTGTGTAGAGAGAGGGCTGTGACCAGTAATTACTCCTTCCACAGAACTTAGTATCTGAATTCTTGGGTCCAGCTTAATGTTAGACTCAACAGGGCTCTGGGGTTGGTGGATAAGTGTCAGGCATGGCTCTGGAGCTGCTGAGAAGTATGCTAGATCATCTTCTTGGCCAGGGGCTCAACCCAGACTTGTAGAGGTAGGCTTGACTGTGATCAGGCCCTTGAAGAATCTCACTGGATTCGATTCTGCTTGCTCTTCTGTGGCGATAGGCATTGCCAGATTCCTCTATAGACCATCTCACTGTGCAAGGCGTAGTTGATGGCATTGATTGTGGGCATGGCTTTAGCAATGAGAGCAGGCACCTGTTGTGTTGGGAAAGGCCACGAAAGATGCTTTGAAACCTCTACTTCACTCCCAGTCCCACTTGGTGACTCGTCCCCCTTGCACCTGCCAATCATTTGTCCCCAGCTTGATTCTTCAGTCTCTGAGCCTTTCCTGGTGGATGTCTACGGTTCATAGAATGTCACAGAACTCCCTATCACATTCTATCCAAGCTCAACACACCTGCTCCCAACCTGGGTGTCAATCACAGCCCCTGCACTATCAGAGCACATGCACACTCTATCATCTCAGTGTGGTCCAAGGGTGGAGGGGTGTGGAACAAAAATATTTGCTGCACTTTGAAAAGAGGGAGGAGATAGGAAGAAAGAAAGAGGGGGGAAGGAAGGAAGGAAGGACGGATGGAAGGAAGGAAGGAAGGAAGGAAGGAAGGAAGGAAGGAAGGAAGAAAGGAAGGAAAGAAGGGACAAGTGAGTGAGTTAGCCGAAAACCAGAAGGCTTGGTACAGCGAGACAGACTGATGTGATGGTGTAGAGGATTCTTTGGGCTTTGAGGACTCTGTACCATCTGTAGTTTGGGAGAGATGAAGCTCACATCTGCGATGGCTGCATATAGGTACAGGAGGGCATAGGGGCCCCAGCCCAGCAGCAGCATCCTGCCTGGTAGAGTGGTGTTCACCTAGGGAGAAAAAAAAATCAGAAGAAACATCTGTTCACTCTAGGTGGGCACAGCCTTGCAGAGGCAGGGGTGCTAGCACAGGTTGGGCTCTAGGAAGGGATTGAATCAGCAGCAGATCTTGGCAGCACATGAGCTCATTGGTTTGAAAGGCTATGTAGATGTAAGCCTGTTATTTAAGCTCACCTGGCCTCAGTTTCCTTGTCTTTTAAATGGTCTAATATTGCTAGGTTGCTTGGAGGTAGGGACTGGGGCAGGATAGATGAGCTTCTTTTCAGATCTTTGCTTTTCAGCAGGAATCTCTGACTCTGTGGCAGTATACGTGAGGTACCCAGGACTGAGCTCCCCTAAGGCCTAGAATGACCTCCCTATCAGCAGCTGCAGCCACTTCTTGAGATCAGTGTGTCTGGACTCAAATTTTTCACCATATCAGTATAACCAGTGAGTGGGCTGGCAGGGAAGGTTTTGATGCTAGAGGTTCTCCTGGAGCCACAGAATGCTAGAGACTTGATATCTAATTTCAGGATGAGTTAAAAATGTCTTTCTCTCCACGAACTCTGAGACATGAGGATTTGGGTGCAACTGTTTCATTGACATATCACTCTTTAACAAAGGAGATTTAATTGGAGGAGGACACATTTGAAAGTATGTTGAGCAGTGACCCTGGTAATATAGCTCAGTGGGTAGAATTCTTGCTGCACAACCATGAGGACTAAATAGGATTCCAGCATCTACATAAAAAGTGACATGTAGTGGGACATGCCTGCAATCCCAACACTGGGAGGTAGAGACAAGAAAGGTATGTGGGGCTCACATATTACCCAGTCTAGCCAAGCAGCAAACTCCAGGTTCAATGAGAGATTCTTCTCAAAGACTAAAGTGGAGAATGACAGAGGAAGGCAGTAAACATCAGCTTTTCATTTTCACAGACACATGGTCTCCTTCCCCTGAAGCTCCTCAAATGTGAGCCAGGAAGCATTTTTCCTTGTGAATTATCCTTCTTCTGGAGAGAAACATGTACTTAAGACTGATGGAGGGTCTCCTGGAGGAAGTTGAGGCTAGGAGGGAAATCAGCATCTCAGTGGTAGACAGCTCTATCTCTAGAAGCCCCCAGCTTTGCTCTGGTCCTTGGGCCTGTGGGTAGTGACCAATGTTTGTGCAAGCAGAGCTGATGACTCAGAACCAACCAGAAAGATGAGGAAATTGTGGTGGTGGACTTCTGACTGATGTAACTCCCAATAAACATGAAGACTTCATGTATACAGATCAAAGTTGCGGTGAGGGCCAGTGAAATGGCTGAGTAGACAAAGGCACTTACATCCAGACTCAACAATCTGACTCCACCCCCTGGGACCCACATGGTGGAAGGAGAGAACTGAATCCAGCAAGTTGTTCTCTGATCTCCATGTGCGTATGTCCATGTAGACCAGGGTGGCCTTGAGATCACAGACATTAGTCTGCCTTTGCCTCTCAATATATTTTTTTTTAAAATAGTAACGACATTCATTGTTAGAGAAGTGCAAATTGATGCAGTCACTATGGAAACCAGTGTGTTGGTTCCTCAGATAACTGGAAATAAATCTGTTGTATGACCTAATAATTTCACTCTTGGGTATATACCCAAGGACTCTACTTCCTACAGAGATACATACTTATCTATGTCCATAGCTGTTTTATTCACAATTTCTAGGACATGGAAATAGCCTAGAAGTCTATCAACTGATGAATGGACAATGAAAATGGATAATAATAGACAATGAAATTGTATTCAGCTTTGAAGAAAAATGAAATTTACAGGTAAATAGGTGGTACTGGAAAACATACTGAGTGAGACCCAGACCTAGAAAGACAAGCATCACATATGTGATCCACTTATATGTGAATCTTAGCATCACATCTTTGTATTTGTGTGTTGAATTTGGAGTTTCTGTAGAATATAGGGAATTGGAAAGGGCCATTGATGAGGCGAAGAGAAAGATAAAAGGGATGGGGTATAATATTACATCAATGATATGAAGGGAAAGGGGAGAAAGATAAGGAGGAAACAAGTGGGGAGAGCTTTGTGAGTATAATTGGGGTGTCTGGTTTACTAACACTAAAGATGTTTGAACAAACCAAATGGAAATCTACTATTTTTAAACTTCATTCAGATAACAAACTTTGTTGTTGTTGTTGTTTTGTTTTTCAAGACAGGGTTTTTCTGTATAGCTTTGGAACTTGTCCTGGAACTCACTCTGTAGACCAGAGGCTGGTCTCAAACTCACAGAGATCCACCTGCCTCTACCTCCCAAGTGCTAGGATTGAAGATGTGTACCACCACTGCCTGGTTTGGATAAGAGGCTTTAATCAACACAGGAGATTATGCTCCTCCCAGAGGCCATCACTTGCCAAATGAAAAGCCCAGTTCTAGGTGTGAGATAGCCCCTTGAGTTGTTCATAGGTGTCCTGGAGATTCCCCCAAACAATACAAGCTATTGTCTGTATGGAGAAACCCTACAGTTTCTCCATACATGCTGATCACGCCCATGCCCGATTGGGCACGGTCAGAGTGACATAATAAGGGTTTAAGTAGGAGGAAGGCACACATACAAGCCCTTTTCTCTCTTTCACCAGGCTGAGCTGACTAGGGAACATCTTGTGGGTCCCTCCTTCTCTGGTGCAAACCTGGTCACTGGCTCCCTTGGGTGAGTACTATTCTTTAATAAACTACCTGTTATCAATCTATTTCTGACTCCATTTTCTTAGCCTCATTAATTGTCCTTGCTCTTAGTTACCCACAATAACTTGATAGCAAGACTCTAATGATAAAGATGTCATACATGTTGGTCACCATACACAGGGATATCAAGTAGGTATTACCTAAGCCACTGCTCCATGCTGGTTAACTTTCATAGGTAGGCAGCTGGAACGAAAGTCATTAACACTCTTACCCAGCTGTGAACCCTGTGAATTACAGTAATGACTGGCATGGCAAGATATGGTTGTGGGCACAATAATGGCAAAAAAGTTACAGAAGTAACCAATCACTTTCTGATTGTATTTAAGGATCATTGCACAAGAGGAAATATATGCATGCATGGTACTGAAAATCCAGTCTAGAACCCATGGTTGAAGAGCTTATAGGCCCTGGGGGTGAACCTACAACTATTATTCTGCTATACATATGTAGTATCAAACTACCTCCTAAATGTGTATTTCTATACCCAAACATTGGTACACCTCTCAGTCCTTACTAGAGAGGTGTTTGTGTTTGTTTGTTTCTGCAATGGATGGTGGTTAACACAGATACTCATAATTGGTCCAAGTGCAGAGAATATGTATCAATGGAGTGCTCAGCTATCTATATCACACACACACACACACACACACACACACACCAGCTCTGGAGCTATACAGGAAGATGGGGCACAGACTGTTAAAACCTGGGCTCAGGGAGGATAGCACTAACAGTATTTTCATGGCATGACATGACTGCTGCACTCATGAACACACAAAAGCTATGGCTGTCTGCACAAGATCAAGTCAGTCAACATTCTAGCATGGAGTGGGAATGTTCATGAGCTCCACCCCTAACTGAGACACTATGGACAGTTGATGACTTTCAAGGGTGTGGACTCAGGTTGACTGATCATTCTGCAGTGGTTGGCCCTGTGTATGTGAATATATGAACAACACAAATTAGGGCTGGTGGATTTAGTTATTTAGAAAGAGGACATGAAGCGAAGCGGGGGATGAAGGAAGTAGGGATGGACATGAGAGTACTTATGGGAAGGAATATGGGTTGAATATGGTAAAAAATACATTGTATGAAATTCTAAAATATTAATATATATTTTTTAATGTTGAGGTGAGCAATGTGAAATAGAACCTAGGAGGTGGTGCTCTGGCCTCCAAGGCAGGAGCCAGGATTCTTGGCAGTTCCAGTACAGCACTCAACCTTTTAGCTAGATCCACAGATTAATGTAATTTATAATGTTGTTTCCTAATTCATAGTAATAAATTTAAGTGACAGACTGTCTTAATAAAAAATATCTTTGTGCACTAAACTTGAGCTGTTCCAGGTCTGGGTTTTGATTCATCTCTGCTATTACTAAATGTGTGGCATTTGGTGAGTCATTTAGCTACCTTCTCTGCACCTCAACCCAGTCTGTGATAAAGCTTTCATGCATCAGAAAAGACTCACAAAGATTAAGTGAAAATACATATAATATCTATAATATCAATATTTGCTTTTATTAAAAACAGCCTTTGTTGCTTGTTATGACTCATTTGTTAATTTTTTAGATAACATAGTCAAATGAAAATCTCTAGCAGGGGAATTTTAATATAGAAATTCTGAAATGGCCAGGAGGTCCTATTTTAAAGCCTCATTTTTCTTGGACAAATGTCCTTGCAGGTGTGGTTTTATGGGGTGGGTAATAGCCTGTGACTGTGATTAAATTAAACATCTCAAAGCAATTTAAAAAGCAGCATTTGAAGAGTCCTGCAATTTGGTGCCAAGCCTCCAATCCCTAGGGAGACTGGAGTGTACCAGCATGCATGATGTAATGTAGGAGCTTGGATCTCAGGATTGCAAGGCCTGGGTAAATCTGGCTTGTTCTGGCCCTTGCTGCCTAAGCTTTGGAAATCTGAGCAACAGGGAAGCATTTTCTATTTCTAACAACATATTCTCTATTTGAACTGGATTTTCTCAGGATTTTTGCAAACACAGAAAACACTGACTTCTGCCATGTCATGCTTGTTTCCAGAGTCTCCAAGAGGATCAAGAGCCTCCTGCTGCTGCAGGAGCTGGCTTCTTACCTGGAGATGACCACTCCTGGAGAGTTTGTGTTCCATGAGTCGGTATGAAGTGAGTGTGATGAAAAGGGGAATAAGGAAGTTGAAAAATGCCATGGTGAAGAGGAAACTGATGAAATTTCTACAGGTAGAGGGTAGAGAAACAGAGGTCAACTCCAGGATGCCAGCAGCCCAGGCTCACCAGCATCTGTGCTGGACAGTGATGGGTGTCATCCCATCTTAGACAAGCACTCAGAGTAGCCTCTCCTGTACCCAGCTGACCTCTCCTCTTTAGGCAGGAGCCATAGTTCATCCTGAAGCCTGACTTTGGGAGCCAGGAGCTGAGATGAAGAAAGGATTCCTTCAAGCTCAAATGTATAGTCTTGCTGTCTTATTTAGTAGCTGAGGATAGATGGGATTCTTAATTTGGGAAATATGTTCACTAAATCCTGGGGGCATCAGTGGGCCAAGAGGAAAAAAAATATGCAAGGGAATAATCTCTTGCCTTGCATAAGGATTTGAAAATAACCTATGGATGACAGAGACTGGATATTGTCTTTAAGAAATCAATGAAGGGGATGGGTGTGGTGACTCACACATGGGAAGCCAAGGCAAGAAGGTTGCTATAAGTTCACTGCCAGTCTGCACTATAGAGTGAATTCCAGGCCATTCTGAGAGTGAGATTGTGTCTCAAAAAATGAACAATGAAAACTCATTAAAGGGATGAAAAAAGAACCTGTGGTCTCAGTGCAGGCCCAGAGGAGATGTGAGGATGACCAGGGACAAGTAGGAGTTGCCAGGAGGCAGATCCTGATTTCATGAGGGGGATGCTAGTCAAGGGATACATTTTAGTTGTTCACCAAGAAGAAGTATGAGGGATCCTTGTTGGGTGATGTTTGGAAGGACATTGGGACCATGTAAGCACACAGGTTAGTTTCATCCGAGAAGCCTATTATCAGGGACAAATACTTCATGAGTCTGCATTGTCTGTAAAACATGAATGCCATGTGACTGTTCTGGAAACAGGAAATGGGAGAGGTAGAAGGCATGGTGCTGGAAGCCATGTGAATAGTCCCCAGATTGACCCCTGAAGGGTTTTCTAAGGTCTTTCTTCATGGAGCCACACAGATGGCTGTGGATGGTGCATGCATTCTGTCCTGTCTTGTCAGGGATTGGCCCACAGTAGTTGCTGAGAGAAGATGGAAAATCTATCTCCCTGTTGGGAGGTCCCCATTAATGCAAAGCCCTTATGTGCTTTGGATATGTTGATCTAAGACATGGGTATCTCCCAAAATCAATGAATCCTGAGCCAAGACAACTCCCTTTTGCTGAAGAGGGCCAAAGAGTAGTGGGGCCCTATGGTAGTTACAGACCAACCACCTACTGTGTAAACTCTCCTTTGGATTTCCTCAAATGTTAACATTGTTCCAGTTTAGTTTTCAGCTGAAATATCCTTCTCACAAAAGATTAAAGTCAAGTTCCCCATGAAAGGGTGCCTCAAAGCTACAACTTCCACCTCACCTGTCACCTCTAGAATAGTCCAATGTACAGCATGTTCCCAAAGGCTCATAGTCATAGTGGCCCCAGCCCATCAGGGGCAGGGATGCCCAGAAGGCAGATGATAGCCACACAAACAGCACCAGAGGGATGGCCGTGTTCCATGCCAACTGTCTACCTGTGTGAGATAGAAGAGAGATATGTTGTACAGAGACAGTTTGACTGCATGAAGAAGAACGGATTTTGTAGCTGCAGAGTGTCCCCACATCCCTAGTCCAGTAGTAACAGCATGGGTATCTTTGAGCCTCAGTTTTCTCCACAATGAGCATGATAAAGCTCCCAGTCTTCGAAGACTATAGTAAGCAAAAGAGATCATGGGCAGAGGTGGCCTCCTCATGTGTCCTAAATCATCTTCAGAGAACAGAGAGGATGAAGGAGGGAGTGAAGACAGGACAGATGTGTCTCCCAAAGCCAAGCTTTAAAGAAGAGCCATATGCAGTAGTTCGGGTAGAGGTGGGAGCTTGTGGAGAGGCAGGGTGTCTGCTTCCAAGACGCTCTACAAAAGCTTTGGGACCTGGTTTTGATCTCATTGCTGCTGGCAGAAGCTATTGTACCGACGGACAGTCTCTTAGGATGTGGTGTGATCCAGCCTGACTGACACCCTGTGGTCCTGTTCCCTGTCTTCTGCAGCCTCGTTGACCACCCTGGCTTCAGCACATCTGTCCCAGGTGTCCTCACTGTCTGTGGATTATTTGTTGATCCCTTTTGACCCCAGGGCAGAAGGCAGGACTCCAGATAGGTTTGAGCCAGCAAAGAAGAGCAGGTCTACAACTCCTGTCACCCAACACCTAGCCTCTCTTGCTGTCACTTCATGTGGACTTTTGTTGAATGTGCTTCCCTGCTAAGATAGGCTGTGTCCTCAAATTCAAGCACTGGACCTACAATTTCCATTGTGATGGCAGACTTTGGGAGATCATCAATCATGAAGTGCAAGGCCCTGGGTGAGATTAGTGTGCCGTTAGTGTGGATCTTTCCAGGCTGCAGTGTGCTCCACAACTGTCATATTCTTATAGGAAAAGACATGAGATCAATGACCTTGTGAATAGTTTGGTGAACATCTGCAAAGAGGGACTGCCCCAAGACAGGACATGCTGGCTCACTGATCTCAGACTTAAGAGAAATGAAGTTCTATTGTTTGAGCCATCTACACTCTGATGTTTTTTTATAGTAGTCTAGGCCCACTAAGGCACCCTCTACTCCAACAGAGAGCATGGGAATTAATATCCAGCTTGGCCTATGTGTGGCAAAAGCCTTTTTGCATGAAAACTATTTCCAAGATAGAGTGTTCACTGCCACCTAGTAATGGAGCAGAGAGCCTGGCCTTCCTCCTGTCTAGTCCCTATCTTCAGGGTGCTCTGCTACACCCTCCAGAGCAGGAAGGGATTTGATGTGAAGGCCTGGGGGGACTGGAGGTTAACTGCAGACACAGAGCTTTTCGTGACTACCAGAGAAGACTCCTCTCTCTGTCTCTGTCTCTGTCTCTATCTCTGTCTCTTTCCTTCCCTCCCTCCCTCCGTGTGTGTATGCATGCATGTCTGCATGTGTGTATGTATGTATGTGCAGTGTGTGTGTGTGTGTATGTGTGTGTGTGTGTGTTGTGATGATCCTGGGGATATTTGGAACAGGCAGTAGGATGGAAGCAGTAAAAGCGGTGTTCCTAAGGCCATATTGACAGGAAAGGCTAACCCATCATCACTCAGAATAAAAATCAGACACTTTTCCACCCAGAGAGAGGCTCCTGATGCCTGGAGGGGCCATGAATGTGGGGGTCTTCACGCTGATAAAATCCACCATCCTAGACATGGACTCAGTTGAGAAGGGGAACAACAACCTCTGGAGACATCCTGACCATACTCAATGCCAGCCCTGACTCTGTTTACAGGGCAAGTGACACAGGGCTAGTTGCTTGTCTTCCCTATGCCTTTGTTTCTTACACTGCACACTGGAGGTTTTCTGTCTAGGTCAGTTGGAACACAGTTTCTCAAAGTATGTTTATGTGACTCTCTCTGGTGGTGATTAATGCTGTGTGTTTTAACATGTACTGAAATTTAAGTATATTAAACCTGTGATTTCACAGATACCATTCAGAATAAGACATTAAGAAGAATAAAAATTAGTATTTTATTTTGCTTTTTTTTGTTTTGAGACAAGGCTTTGTGTAGCTTAGGTTTCAACAAAGTAGTTGAAAATGACCCTGAACTCCTTCATCCTCCTGCCTCTGCCCCCAACAAAGTGCTGGCATTATAGACATGCACCACCATGCCGGGTTTTTGTGGTGTTGGGGGCTACAACCAAGGCCTTGTAGATGCTAAGCAATGAACCTACCAATTCAGCTATATAACCATATCCTAAACTAAGTTTAAAGAGAACTTGGCAGGGCATAGCAATACACACTTGTAATACGTAGTACTTGAGTAATGGAGACAGGAGGACCAGAATTCAAAGTCATCCTGACTTCAACGGGTGCAAGACCAGCCTGAGCTGCATGAGACTGTCATAAAACAAAACTAATGAACTAAAACAAAACATATGGAACTACAAGAAAAATCTGACATTTTTAAAAGTAATTTATTTGTTAAGAAAACAATACCAAGCAATGGTTAGGGACATAGCTCATTAGTACCATGCTTACCTGGCATGCTCATGCAGTGCTAGGAAGCAGCCTAGCACTGCATGAGCCATGCATGGAAGTGCATATACTTGTAATCCCAGCACTTTAGGAGTCTGGAGCCACCTTGGGATACATGGGACTCTGCCTCAAAACGAAATCAAACAAACAAGAAAATGACAAGCAACCACAGAGCAGTTGGCACACTGAAAACAAAATCTAATAATGAGGCTTGGTAATTTAGACCTGGATTCACCTTTGTGTGACTCTGCCATACACCTATGAAGTGGCAGGGTGCAAACACCCAGACCCTGCTCCTGCTCCCAACATACACACACATTCACCCTCCTTCTGTCCCCCAAATTTACCTGACTGCCTGAACATTTTCTATGTCCATGATCTCATTTGATTTTCAAAACGAACCTCTGAGATTGTTTTTTTAAATAACCTTGCAGAGAAGGAAACCAAGGTTCAAAACCTTGCTTCACCAAGGATGTAGCAATGGCAGACTGTCTTTCTAATGTGCATCTCCAAGCAGGCTTGTCCACCCTCTTTCTCCCTCTTTTTCTGAAGTAAATGACCACATGTTGTGTGCAGGTACCCATCTGCCCACCCACACTCTCTTGTTTGGAAAACACTGAGCTGAATTGAATACTGTCCACCCTGCCCTATCTTTTATCTTCATGTACTCGGGAGTGTCCCTACAGTCAGGGGGCCCAGAGACTTACGGGTGCAGTAGTGGTGGTAGCGACCCCAGGAAATGGCTGCACTGCCACAGATGCTGGCCAGTGCGGTTGCAAAACCCTGGAAACCATGAGCCTGGCAGCCCTCTGAACCATATGGCCAGCGCCTGTGGGAAACAGTGAGCACAGTAACCCTTCCCTTCATCCTTACCACCCCCCACACAGCCGAGGCGAACCTGGAAGGTTCCTGGATGTTGTCCCTGATCTTCCCATGATGGAACTGGGGCCTTGGGGTTTAGATCAGTGGGCTAATGAACCACCAGTGGGCCAAAGGGTCTTTCTGAATGGTCATATGCCTCCAAACAGACAATGAAAAAAATTACTTATCCAGGGTACCACAACACATGAAGGCAAAGCTAGAGGGTAAACCCCCACTCTCTGAATTCTCATCCCCATGGTGAAGCAGAGGAAGAAGGGCTGTTTCATTGTTAGAGAAGGAATTCCTACTGATTCAGGCTCCAAGACAGCTTTGCAGGCCACATGACAAGACCCTGGTGTCCACATGAGGTATTAGACTCTGGTCTACATCCTGTTGGCTGTAACAAACACTTATTTAGGGCCTACCAGGGAGTATTAGCTCAAACTACTTGTAAATAATTTAACCAGCACATCCAATAACACATATGAATTAGGTTGTAAAATGTAACTGACAGAAGTATCCCAGGACTGGAAATGGTGAAGCAAGGACTCAAGGCTAGAGGACAGGGCTTAGGCTCTGAGTCCCTCCAGCCCACTGTCTCTTTGGTCAGGTCTGAGCAACCTCTGCATTCCAGACATTGGCTATATCTTCATCAATAATCAGGAATTTGAGTTTAACTTAATTCAGCTGGCCTAACCTCTGACCTTGGGACAGTTTTCTATAGGTAGAAAGAAAGGTTCTGGTCTGCTTGCCCATGATCCCAAGGTGAAGTTCCGAGCAAGACCCCAGAGCCTGTGGAAGGGGATGGGGCTGGTACCGGAAGAGGCTGGACACAGCTGCAACAAGGGCATTCAGGCTGATCCCACTATCTGCCAGGGCCAGGCTCAGTACCAGCAGGTTGCTGGGAGTCCGCAGATCTGGAGTCTTGCAGAAAGAGAAGATGGTCAGGCCATTGAGGCTGAGGCCAGAGAGCGCTGAAAGGAAGGGTAAGGCCTGGTATTGAAGCTTGCACGGAGGTGAGGCCCATGTGGGTATCAGAAGCAGGGTCTGGGGTTGATGGAGTTTCAGTGACCTCATAGATTTCACCCCAGCATCCTCTCAGCACAGCTTTTCAAATGCTACTCTGGTGGGATGACACTCAGGCAGTAAAAGCTGTGATTCTTCCTGTTCACTACCTACTAACAATTGAACAGGAAGACATTCAAGAAGACCACACAGCTCAGTGTGGCTCCTGCTGTGATAATCAGTCACTGACAAGAGCTGAACAAGTGGGCACCAGGCACCCTGGCGAGCACGTTGTTCATTCAGTATCCTCTCCATGGCTCAGAGATGTTAGATAAGTGCTGTTAGGAAGTAGCAACTATAGGGACAGTTTCTCATCTTTCAGATTTCAAAAAAACGCCTTCTTCAAGGGCTGTGGGACAATGTCATGGTAGGTGGGACCTGGAGAAGAGGACCCAACTTAGAGACCAGTGTGACCCAGGACACCAGATAGCAAGGTGAAACTGCAGTACTGCAGGAGGGGTTCTTTAACAGCAGACCTGACCTTCAATTTCAGCTTGGTCACTCCCTTGCTATTCCTTGAACTTTAACCTTAACTTCTTGTCTCAAGAAGCTGGGCCTGTTGGGCACTATGTTGAAGAAGCTGAGGCAGGAGAATTACAAGTCCAATGGCAACCTACATAGCCCTACCTCAAAGCTAAAATGTAAAAAATCTAGGATATAACTTAGTGGTAGAGAACTTATCTAGCTTGCAGAATGACCCAGGTTACACCCTCAGTTACATCCTGCTCTCACTAGAAAAGGGGGATATGGAGAGGGAAGGCTTTTTTCCTTTAAAATTATGGAGGACAGCTCATGGGAAAGAATTCCAGGAAGAGAGAGAAGCATAAATAGACATAAAGGAAAATGTCCCAGCATAATAGAGGACCAGAAAGCAGGCTAAGCCACAGGGTTCCCAGAAAATGGAGCTTGCTCAATGGTATCCAGGATCTGCAGGACAGTCCTAGTGGCTGTCACTCCCTCCCCATTGTCAGTCTTCACCATGTAAAAGGATGAACAGATTACCCTTCTGGGTCTGGTTTGAAGACTGTACACTGTCAGCCTGGCTTCAAGGAGGATTCTATTTGTGTACTCACTGAGCATCGGGGTGATTCTAGCTTGAGGCAGGTGTCTCCTGGGTCTAAGTAGCTGCTGTTGGAGAAAAACCTTTGGTTGTAGGAACAGACCTGGTAGAAGTAGTGGTAGATCAAGGCAGAAATGGCCGGGAAATAATCAACTTAAATCCCTGCATGTCTATTTATACCATGATTTTATACTAATGATTCAACTTAGCCTCGGCAGACAATCATTTATAATGACTAGGCTCTGAGGGTTAGAGAGCTGAAAAGACTTGGTAATATCCCATAGAGAGCAGGCGGCTAAGCTGTTGATTTCTGGAGACTTCTGAGGGCCTGGTCTTACATGAGAGTCTTAGCAAAATTTCTGGGGAGTGGATTACATTTTTTCTTGGCTTGAGGGACAGGAAAAGCCTTGTCCTGGTCCAGTTACCTCCTGAGCAGGTATCTCCTATCCAAGTGTCCCCCTCTTCGACCCCTGCCTGGCTTCTTTCTCCTGGCTTCTATGCAGCATGCTATATCCCAAGGGGGCTGTCACAAGAATAATCCCTGGATCCAGACACAGAGGAGAGGCAGCCAAGACGATGTGCCTACTCCACAGCTGTGGCGTGGGTTCCGGGAACACTGGGTCCTCGCTCCACCCAAGGTCTTGCTTGGCTCACCTTCCATCAGCAGCACTGTCCCCATAGCCAGCACCTCGAGTTCCCCAAACCCAGCAGGCAGGGCCCTGGTTGCAGCCATCCTTGGACTTCCTCCTTGTTGGTCACCTCTTTTCTGGCTCTCTGAAAGCAGGCTCCTCCTTTTTAAAGGGCCACCCCACCCACCTGCTGCCACACGGAGGTTATTACAGGGGATTTAGAGCACTTTTTTTTTCTCTCACCCTTCTAAGTCTCCCTCTTGGCTCACATAGAAGGAATCATTCAGGAGAAGGACAGTGCAGGCTTTGTGGACTGGAATGAGCCCTGCCTTGTTCATTTCAGCCCACTAGCAGGATTAAGGTCTAGGATCCAAATGGTGTGTGACTGAAAGCTGAATTGGGAAAGGGTTGCATAACCACGGGAGGGGAGTGGAAGAAAGGATTTGAGCTGCAGCTGTCCCTGAGAACTGGATAGTAGCCAGGTCCTTCTACATGCACAGTTGCTGACAAGCTGAGTGTCTGTGGGTTCATGTGCATGCGCATGTGTGCACATGTGTGTGTGTGTGTGTGGTGTATGTGTGTGAGTGTGCACGCACGCACGTGTGTCTGTTAACAGGATCATGGACATATGCAGACAAGCACTGGGTGAAGGGTGAGGCTTTTGACGTCACATACTGTCATAAAACAAATGTTGACTGGGACCAGACCTTCAGATCCTGGTTCCGAGTCTGCCATTCCTGGCTATATGAGCTGTGCTGCAGCCATTGGGTCATTATCTATTCAATTTCGTCCTTTATGCTCCATGCCTTTTCCTAGTTAAGTGCTGCTTTGAATCCACTGTGGATTTAGACTTTGGGGCTTCACTTCCTGCCTCCCACACAGTCTTTGAGATAGGCAAGCATGGAATACCTCCCAGAGTGAAGGATGGCTCACACAGTTTTCATAGTGCCCCAGGAATTACTGAGAACTTTGGCTTCTACATACAAGGTCTTGGTACAAGTTGTACACTGGCCCATTCTGAAAGCCACATCAGAAAACAATGATCTAAGAAACAACTAATCTTCAGATGAAGAAACCAAGTCCCATAGGGCTACTAGCAAAACAACTCTTGTCTACTGGAGTTAGTGACCACACTAGTGGACGATTATCAGAAGACTCAAAAAAAAAAAAAAAAAAACATGAATGAAATGCCTGTACCCATCCATTTTAGATAAGGAAATTGGAGATAAGTGAGTTAGAATCGGCCCAGGGCCATGTAGTGAGTGGTGGTGGAGCTGCAGCAACTCTTGCCCTCCATCATGCAGGCCCTGGTGCTTCCCACTGGCACCTTCTGATTCCCTCTTCAGAGCAATTCATTCTACTCTGATAACATCCAGGCCCCAAACCTTCCCTCCTGTCAATACCTACTTAAGTCTGAACTTAATGACTCCTAGAACCTGAAGTTCCAGCTATATCCTCCAGGGCCTTCCCTACTCTTTTCTGACTTCCAACTTGCTGGGACTGTCTTCCCATGCCCACAAGATTACTAAGGACATGAGGAAAGAAGAGAAGGGGCAAGGAAAGGAATAAAGTACAGAGTCAACTAAATGAAGTCCAAGCAAGAGGAAAGTGCAGTCTGGGTGTGGCAGCAGGCCAGGAAGTCTTTGATTTCTGGAGGAGAGTGACAGGTACTGTTCTAGCACTGAGAAAATGCTACTGAATAGATGTGAAGAGAAGATATGAGAAGCACCATTTTTTTTTTTGGAAGCTGATACTATCTGAATAGGCTTGGCATGGAGCTAGGCACTGTATGTATATGCACTGGGGTCTGGCTTAGGGTCACTGTTGCTGCAACAAAACACCATGACCAAGCAGCTTGGACAGGAAGGAGTTTATTTGGTTACACTCCAACAGTGTATTAATCATTGAAGGAAGTTGGGACAGGAAATCAAACAGTGCAGGAACCTGGTAGCAGGAGCTGATACAGAGGCCATGGAGGGGTGCTATTTACTGCCTTGTTTCACATGACTTACTCATCCTGCTTTCTTATAGAAGAACCCATAACCACCAGCCCAGTACAGCATGACCCACAAAGGACTGAGCCCTCCCCACTTTAACACTAATTAAGAAAATGCCCTAAAGGCTTGTATACAGCCTGATTTTATGGAGGTGTTCTCTTACTTGAGGTTCTCTCCTGACAGAGACTTCAGCTTGGGTCAAGTTGACATAAAACTATAGAGAATAGTCCCCAGGCATCTTCTTTGGCCCAAACTTACAGCTGAGGATTGACTAGGCTCTTGAGCATGCCAGACTGTGGAACCTAGCAGAAAAGCCAGACCACCAAGTATGCTGAGACAGAAAGCAAAGCCCACGAATGAGTGACTTACCAGGAGTCTAGCATTCACTCCTCCCTGGCATCTTGAGAAGGTTTTGCAGGATGGAATTCAAGAAAAGAAAACAAAATCTCCAAAAACCTCTGTGAGATCTATCTCTAGGACCCTTCCTGCTGGATGACCCTTAAGAAAGGCAGAGCTCTCTCCTTCTGCAGTGACTTCTCTTGCCTTCAGCATGGGTGGTTATACATCAAAGATATCCCACTGACAGCCTAGAATTCTGAGATTGGGTGTCCGTGGGGCATGGAGGAAAGATAGACATTTGCCCATGTTCATGAGCATATGGAGACATTTCTAATGTCTGCCTGCAATGTCCTGTAAGTTCCAGAAATTTACAGTTTGTGGGAAGGTTCCGTCCCCCAAATAGTCAAGGATTGGGCACGCCTCGTCTAATTTTCAGCAGCACTCCAGGTGGGAAAGCTTTACTTTCTTTCATAACTGATGGTTGTGAGGTCTGAATACAGTGTTGTGCCCTGAAGCATGGACTCTTTCGAATGCTAGCATTGTCTTCAGAAGGTCCTGCTTAATATCACTCCTTTTTTTCTAGAGACTCTCATAGGAGACAATTTTCATAGGTCCTTACTAGAGACCACAGTTCTGTTTCCATTTTTTTTTCTTGAACCTAGCACCCCAAGGAGACAGTTCTGTCACCCATGGCCTGGTTGGAATGTAGTTCTTTGCAAGAAGACAGCCCATTCAGCTAGTTACTTGCCTCTGGGCAGCTGCCCATCTGCTTTATCTTGCTGGCCCCCAGCTTCTTTTGTTGTTATAGAGGGATCCTCTCCCTCCCCTCAAGGCTGGGTGATTCAGGAAGCAATAAGCTGCTGCTGAGTTCTGGGGCTGGGGCTCCCTCCCTAATCCCCAGCCTGCATTTATCCCATGGCCTTGGGTGGGGGTTGGACAGTGATGAGCAAGTGGATAGCTGCTGGACTTACTGGACAAGCAGGACGGAGCACTCCCAGGACAGGCCCCCTGCCTGGGCCCAAGAGGAGCCAGAAGTCATGTGGGTGGCCATGGGCATGCTCTGGCTCCTTGTTCTTGGGGGACCTCACCAGGCCTGGAGCTTCTGTCCCTCTCAATGCAGCTGCAGCCTGCACATCCTGAGTGACGGCAGCAAGGCCAGGTATGACACCACAGGTGTGGGATGGGTCATGAAGTCTTCATAGGTCCACCAGCTAGGCAGAGTTGGGAGGGGTTGGATGCCCAGCAGATGTCCATTTACTCACAAGTCACCTTCCATCTGATACAAATAGACATGTTGGATTTGGGATCCTTGAAATGCAAGGTCTTGGGAAAGCAGTCTGTGCTGTATCATCTTCAGTAAGCAGGGGGTTTACTCTGCCCAGGAGGATGTGGGACATGTATGGGCCAGGTCAGGAAGTTCTTCCTGAGACTTCCTTCGTGTTTCTGGTAGAAAGAAGCCCTCTTTAGAAGTCTAGACTTTTCTCATTTACCTCATTTTTTCCCTCTCTTTGCTTCCTTCCATTTTTATCTCCCCCTTTACATCTCCCAGCTCCTTCTTTCTAGGCACCTCCCATTCTCATGACTGACCTCCACAAGATACCCAGTCACATTTGGGTACTTTTGCAATGGTAGGACACATGCCTCCCTTTGTACTCCCCCCCTTGGATATCTATAAGGCCAGAAATGCCCATTCCATTGCAGGAAGCTCCCTCCTTCCTCTGCCCACTCCTTGGTTTTCTATCATGCTTTCTTTTCCTCTTCATAGACCTTTGAAGCCAAAGCCACCGTGCTTGGTGGACCCTTGCCTTTCTCATGGAGCTCATTTTCTTCTCTTGTGAGCATTAAGTCATCTTTTCCCAAAGCCCTTGGCTTACTCAGGAGGAAATTTATTCTAGTGTACTCAAGGATTTCAGTCCTTCCCTCAGGGCTTTTCCTATCAACTTTCCAACCATGTGGAATAGTCATCCTTTCTCCTTTATCTCGCATAAATACTGGAGAGCCACTGATGATGATTTTTGACCATGGAAATGATGCTATTGGAACTCCCCTTTTCACATGATGCTGGCAATGTTGGGTTGACTGGGGATGATGGAGGCTGAGAATGAAGAGAAACCTCCAGAAAAGATAACTCGTATGTTCTGGAGAAAAGAAAGCATTGCATTTTTTGACATGTTTGATGATTTAATTCACGTGGAAAGTAAATTTCCTTTCACTAAGTAAGACAGGCTGATGCTTAATGGTGCTTAGTCAGCCTGGAATATGGCTGATGACTAAGGACAGTTTGATGAGGGTGCTGTTTGGTCACAAAGGTGACACTATCCACAGAGAGTAAATGCCTCAAAGTCACATGCCATTGATGATGGAACCAGTACCAGAATCCATGGATCTAATTTTTTGACTCTGGGAACTCTGCTATGTGAGGGGAGCAAGAGATTCAGCCTCTGCACAGAGTATCCTACTGGGCAGTGAGTTCATGAAAGCCTGCAGGGAAGCCCAGGTCTCTCCCTTGGCCATTTTCTCCCCTGTTTAGGAACAATTTCCCTATCAATTCCCTTCCTTTACCTGTATCCAAACCTTCTTCCTTGTTAACATCCTACCCACACACATAGGCACTGTATGTCTATGCACTATATATTAGGATTTCTCTATGTATGTATTAGGGTCTCTCTTCCTTGGCTACCTTATCAACAGCAGCAGACAGGCATTGTGACTTTGATTCCATGTTCTGAGGTGATCCCTCCACTTACTTAGACACTAGACACTGCAGTTGGTATCTGTTGGGTCTCATAAGGGAAGGATGTTTGCTCAATCAAATATCCTCCCATTTCTGTGACCAGGACAGTGGTGTGCAGCGACCCTGACTTGACCCTGCCCCCACCTTCGATTCCTCCGGACACCTGCAGGTTGCGCCTGGAGCGAACCGCCATCCGCAGGGTGCCTGGAGAGGCATTCCGGCCTCTCAGCCGCCTGGAACAGCTGTGGCTGCCCTACAATGCTCTCAGTGAGCTCAGTGCCCTCATGCTCCGGGGCCTGCGCCGCCTAAGAGAGCTGCGTCTGCCGGGGAACCGCCTGGCTGCTTTCCCCTGGGCTGCACTCAAGGATGCTCCACAGCTGCAGCTGCTGGACCTGCAGGCCAATCGCCTGGCGACCTTGCCACCTGAGGCTGCACACTTTCTGGAGAACCTTACTTTCCTGGACCTCTCCAGCAACCAGCTGATGAGGCTTCCTCTGGAGTTGCTGGACACCTGGGCTCACCTGAAGACCGGATCCTTTCTTTCCAGCTACCGTGCCAGGCTAGTCCTAGGTAATCAAGATGGCATCCTCCATCCAAGAACCATCCCGGTGCATCTTGGGGTTTGGGGCAACTATTCAAGCCTCTCTGAGTCTGATGAACATCATGCTCACCTTGTACATCCGAGGGAAGATCGAGTGATGTCGGCATTAATCTCAGGTTTAGTAGCTCTAGACACACGGAGCCAGTTCATATTCCAACACTAGAAATAAGAAAACTGATCCCTTATGTTCTCTTCCCCCTTCTCTTCTCCCCTCCCCACTCCCCTTCCACTCCCTCCCTCGGTGCTCCCAATTTACTCAGGAGTTACTGTTTATTTCCCCTTCCTGGCAGATCCATGTATGTCTGTCTCTCTTAGGGTCCTCCTTATTTCCTGGCTTCTATGGGTTTGTGGGCTGTATGCTAGATATCTTTTGCTTTATGTCTAATCTTCACTTATGAGTGAGTACATACCATGTTTGTCTTTCTGGGTCTGGCTTACCTCATTCAAGGACATAGAGGAAGAGCAAGGAAAGAGATGCCTTGATAGAGGGAGCCATTATGGGGTTACTGAGAAACTTGGCACTAGGGGAATTCCCAGGAATTCACAAGGATGACCCCAGCTAAGGATCTAAGCAATAGTGGAGGGGTACCTTAACTGCCCTTCCCCTGTAATCAGAATCATGACTCTTAATTGTCATCATAGAACCTTCATCCAGTAACTGATGAAAGCAGATGCAGAGATCCACACCTAAGCACTGGGCCAAACTCCTGGAGTCCAGTTATAAAGAGGGAGGAGTGATGAGCAAAGGGGTCAAGACCATGCTGGGGAAACCCACAGAAACTGACCTGAACAAGTGGGAGCTCACAGACTGCAGACTGACAGTTGGAGAACCTGCATTAGACCAAACTAGGCCCTCTGAATGTGGGTGACAGTTCTGTGAGGCCACTGGCAGTGGGACCAGGATTTATCCCTAGTGCTTGAACTGGCTTTTTGAAGCCCATTCCTTATGGAGGGATACCTTGCTCAGCCTAGATACAGGTGAGAGGGCCTTAGTCCTGCCCCAAATGATAGATTTTGGTGATTCCCCATGGGAGGCCTCACCCTTTCTGAGGACTGGATGGGGGCAATGGAGAAGATAGGGAGAGCAGGAGGAAGGGAAGGAGAGGGAACTGTGATTGGTATGCAAAATGAGATTTTTTTTACAAAAAGAAATAAGAAAACTGAGACTCAGGAAGTCCCTAGTCACCGTATGTCACTGTTAAACTCAGTTTCACAGCTCAGTATGGAATGAGTCATCATGTGTGTCAGCCACACCCCCTGCCTCTTCTGTCCCTCCCTGCTTCTAATAAACCAAAGAGTTACCAAGTAAAACCAGCAAGTCTTTGCTGCCAGGGGCACCTGCCTGCTCCTCAGGCTGACATTTTTAATGGGAAAGCCATTAAAAACAAAGCAAAGAGGCTGATGGTTCCTTTGTCTCTTTTCCTATCCTAATCCCTCTCTCCTTAGTGCAGCTACTAATTATCGTGTTTACTTACAAGATCCTTATCTTTTACAGTATATTCACATTTGCACACAAATACACACACACACACACAGACACACACACACACACACACACACACACATACACACACACACACACACACAAAGAAAAGCTGTATAGTGTTACAATTTTTTTTTTATGTATTTGTCTGTGTACCACATGCATGTCTGGTGCCCTCAGGGGCCAGAAGAGGGCATTGTATCTCCTGTATCTGGAGTTACAGATGGGTATGAGCCTACTTACAGGTGCCAGATCCTCTCTGGAAGAGCAGCCAGTGCTCTTAACCACAGAGCCATCTCCAGTCCCTAGTGTTATATTTTTTAAAAAATCATATTGTATGTATTAACCATCACCAATTTTTTTTCATTCAACAATATATCTCAGAGATCTTTCTAAATAACTGCAAATGGGACAAGTTCATTTTCCACACTAAAGCAGCCCTCCCCCTTCAAAGGTCTCTAGACTGTTTCCACTGTCTCATTAACACCTTTGGTGCCAGAGATTATTCTCAGCCATGTATTCTTAGTATGTGTATGCAAATGCATCTGAAGGACAGAAGCTGAGAAGTGAACTTGCCAAATAATACAGTACACATGTTAAAATTTTTATAATCCACTTGATGGCTTCTAAGGAGGCTGATACAATTTTCAGTGTTTGCCACTAGTGAGTGAGACTACACATCCATATGGTCACTAAGTAAGTCTTTTTGCATATTTATGTGTATGTAGCATGTGTGTATGCATGCTTACATGTGTTTGGGCTTATGTGTGTGAGCAGGTGCACATGCATATGAATGTACAACCCTGAAGTTGATGTCAATTGTCTTCCATAGTCATTCTCTATTTTATTAATTGAGGCAGGGTCTCCCACGAATCCAGAACTCACTGATTCAGGTAGTCTAACTACAGCTTGCTCTGGAGATTCACTGTCTCTGCCTTCCTAGCTTGAGCAATACAGGCTTCTACCACACCTGCCTAGCTTTTAGGTATATTAGAAAATTCAAACTCTGGTTCTCAGGCTCGTGCTTTATTCACCCAGCCATATCCTCAGACCCAGTGAGTGTTTTTGAGTGACTTGCAATTCTTGATACTATAAGCACTTTATGAAGAAAGAGGAGGAAAAACAGTGAGGAAAAACAAGGCTGGCACTGAAGATGAAAAGCCAAATCTCGGGTCACATATTTAGCAAGGCAAGGAGCTGGGATTGGAGGTCAGTTCTGCTAACTCTGAGTAGGAAAACAACCTCATCCTCCCAGAGACGACATGCAGCTGGATCCAGAGATTTACGGTTAACTTCTTGCTTACTCTCTCACTTTTGTAGGGCTTCAGGACAACCCCTGGGTATGTGACTGTCGACTCTATGACCTGGTCCATCTTCTAGATGGCTGGGCTTCAAATTTGGTTTTCATCGAGCCTAAACTGAGGTGTGCCAGCCCACGAAGTCTGGCTGGAGTGGACTTCAGTCAGCTGGAGTTGAGAAAGTGTCAGAGCCCAGAGCTCCGTCCAGGGGTGACCAGCATCATATCCCCTTTGGGTAGTACCGTATTGCTGCGTTGTGGAGCAACTGGGATCCCAGGTCCTGAGATGAGCTGGAGGAGAGCCAATGGACGTCCACTCAATGGCACAGGTGTGTGAGCAGCAGGCCTTCTGTGTTGAGTGCTGAATTAATACGGTGGGTCAACTTCCCAAATGGAGAGTGGACAGAATCAGCAGGGATTGATATAAGCCAGGCTGGCCTCTGATCTGCCTGAATACAATTGGCTAGAATCCTAGGCTAGACATTGATTTTGACAATGACTCTCAAACCATCCTGTTATTTCTCTTTAGTCACTTTATTATCAGAGACCCATGTTGGGAGCAATACAAAGTTAATTTTTTGTTTTGTTTTGTTTTTTGAGTCAGGATTTCTCTTTGTAGCCCTGGCTGTTCTGGAACTCACTCTATAGTTCAGGTTAGCCTTGAACTCAAAGATCTGCCTGTCTCTACCTCCCGAGTGCTAGGATTAAAGGTGTGTGTTGACCTGCCCAGCACAAAGTTGATTTTTAGAAAATACTCTTAGTGTATTTAACATTTTAGCAGGTTTTTGTTTTTAAAATGTTAACCCAGAACCGTCATGGATAAATAATGATGGAATTGCCGTCTGTTGAGATCTTATGGGTCCAATGTTATGTTAAGTAAATTATGTCCATAATGTCATTCAACTTTAAAAAGCAGGTGAGATTGGGCATGGTGATCTTAGTCTGTAACCCTAGCACTCGGGAGGCAAGAAGATCAGGAGTTCAATGCCAATCTTAGCTACACAGAGAGTTAGGGGTTAGTAGACTTAGTTACATGGGACCTTCTCTCAGAAGCACCCCCACCCCGAGCCGAACCAACCCAAAACTGTCAAAAGCAACCTGATTATCTTTTCTTCATGCAAATAAATGGAGGTCCTGAGAGGTGAATGCTTGTCCCATATCACACAGCTCATAGATGAAGAAGCTAGAATTCCGGTCAGTCTAGCCCTGGCTTCAGAGTGTGGACCAAGTGTCTATTCTGGCTGAGTTGTGTGGGCAGAGATGAATCATCTCTGTCACGGTGGCAGCAGGGACAAGAATCACAACCATACACAGGCAGAAAATAAGTTGAGGAGAAATAATGTCTTAGTAACTACCCAGAAAATCTCACATCCCTCCCAGCTTTCTTTGTCCCCCTCAACAAGTCTGACAGCTGTTGCTCTAGGATAGGGGTTTTGGACCATTTTGCAAAGCAATGCAAAAGGTTCCACTGTATAAAAACACAAAGGTGAGGGTGCTGGTTAGATGTGTCATTTGGGGTGTGCAGGGGTAGGTATGGTGCTTCCAGATTGTCCTCTCTGCCTCCTGATTACCCCTGAACCTACCTACCCCCAATGCACTGGGCTGTTTCCCTGAGGGGTCACTTTTGCAGAACCCAGATCCCAGAGAGTACACTCTGGGCATAGACTTAAAAGGTAGTTAGTACTTAGGCAATTTATTCTTGAGTAACCCAGTGAGCTGGCCTTGAAGGACTTGAGATTTGAATGCATGCCACTATTTTCTTGGGATGAGCAGTGTTCACTACAGTGTGTGTAGACCAGGGGCTGTGTGTGACCTTGATCTTAGAAGGGAGCCTGTGAAGACAATTCATTCATTCCTTCATACTGGCCTCTTTTCTCCCTAGTGCACCAGGAAGTCTCCAATGATGGCTCAAGTTGGACTTTGCTGGATCTGCCTGTTGTGTCTCTCTTTGATTCTGGAGACTACATCTGCCAGGCCAAGAACTTCCTAGGGGCTTCTGAGACCTTGATCTCCTTGATTGTCACTGAGCCCCAGACTTCTACTGGATTTAATGGGATTCAGGGGGCCCTGTGGGCAAGGACAGGGGAGGGGGCAGAAGCCGCTGCTTACAACAACAAGCTGGTGGCCAGGCATGTTCCTCGTATTCTGGAGCCTTTAGCCCCGGCTACCAAGCCCTCGGTGCCCCGCCTAAAGGAGGAGCTGGAGCTCCAGCACTTTCAGATGGACGTCCCAGGAGAGTTCTCCAGAGAGCAAGCAGAGCACAAGGAAGCCCAAATGGTCAGGTCTCTCAAGGTGTTGGGAGATACTTACCACAGTGTGTCTCTGGTGTGGAAGGCCCCTGAAGCTGGGAACACAACTGCGTTTAGTGTCCTTTATGCAGTCTTTGGGCAGCGTGACATGCGGAGGATGACTGTGGAGCCTGGGAAGACTAGTGTCACCATCGAGGGGCTTGCTCCAAAGACCAAGTATGTGGCATGTGTCTGTGTGAGGGGGCTGGTGCCTACGAAGGAACAGTGTGTCATCTTCTCTACTGATGAGGTGGTAGATGCAGAGGGCACCCAGCGCCTCATCAACATGGTGGTGATCAGCGTGGCAGCCATCATCGCGCTGCCTCCCACCCTGCTGGTCTGCTGCGGGGCCCTCAGAAGACGCTGCCACAAGTGCCGCACTGGGAGCTCTGCAGAGGCTTCTGGTGCCTATGTTAATTTGGAAAGACTGGGCCACAGTGAGGATGGCTCAGAGGAGCTGTCCAGGGGCAGCCTCAGTGAGGCAGATAGGCTTCTCTCAGCGCGCTCCAGCATGGACTCCCAGGTCTTGGGAGTCAGGGGTGGCAGACGCATCAATGAATACTTCTGCTGAGCCTGAGTCCCCACTCATACCTGCCTAGCCGCTCTCCCCCTTCGGTCTCACACACTTTCACGCCTGATTGGGTGCTCAGCCACCCTTATTGTTTGGGTACTTGCATACATGTACATTTACACCAACAACTGCTAACACAGCTTATTAAGCAATTACTACGTGCCAGCAAGTGTCCAAAGCACTTCATAGGTATTAACTCACCTGACTCTCATGACAACCATTAGTAACCACAGGCATCATTTTCGTCTCTATTTTCCTGGAGAAGAAGCAGGTGTTAAGTATTTTGCCTGTAACAGCCAGTTTCTGCTACATAACAAATAAAAGCAAAAACTCTCTGGTATGCAACATTAAGATACTTACTTTTACACTATGTGTCTGTAGGTTGACTGGCATGTCTCTGCTATGTGTGTTCCTTTGGGGTCCAGAGGTGGAGAGTAACAGTAGCTACCTGGGGCAGACTTTTCTCAGATGGCTTAAGAGGAATGACTAAAATCATGCAATGCCTCTAAATATCTTAGTGTGAGATTGCTTCTGCCCATATTATATCTGCCAAAGAGAGTCTCATGGCCAAATGCAACTTTAACAAGCAAGCAAATATACTAATCCTCTGAAGTTGATGACTGGAGACAAAGAATTTTTGAAACAGATTTACTACCTGGTCACAGTACTGCCACCAGGGAGTGGCAGCTCTAGCTCTTGACCAGGCAGCTGGACAGTTGGTTCTACTGGAAACTCCTTACCACCCTCTATGTTCCTTCATGCTTGCATTTATGCCAACTAATAGACACCTCACACAGTCTTTCTACACATTAGCCACGTTTGTGAACACAGACACACACACACACACACACACACACACACACACACACACTTCTTCCATATTGTGCCCCTCTCATTGAATTCTAACATTCAACTTTTGGGATGCTTGGAGATAATCATTTTATTTGCAATAAATTCTGGAGAATACTGCTCTTTTGCTCTCAGCATGCCAGCCAGGAGAGAGCCAAGAATCGTCTACAACAGAGGGAACTGTCATGCCCATCTTTTCTCACACCCAGCCCATTCCCATAGAGCAAACTTTACAATGTTTTCTGAACTGTCCTTGGTTTTGGAGAGGACCTGGGGCTTTTCTGGTCATGAAGCAGGCTACTTCAGAGGAGAATTCCTACTGAGTTCTGCCTAGGCCCAGACAGCAGGGATGTTTGTGCACAGGAGTGAGTAGATGCTCTTAGCAGAAGACCCCCTTTATTCCTTGTATACAGAGGAGCGAGTGGACAACCCTAGCAGAAGATCTCATTTATTCCTTTTCTACAGAGAACATGGGTATAGAGTCTTTGGGTGACAACTGGGGACTTTCAGAGTCAGAAGTGATCCAAGGACATTATTTAACTAGTACCGCACAGGATACTTCGACACATGTGAATGTGGACTAAATACAAATCTCCTTCCTATTTGCAAAAGACCTCACAAAATGTTCCTAACAGCCCATTCTGGAGGCTGGGATATTTGATTTTATGGAACTGAGAACCAAAGAACTAACTATGTATACAAAGGAAAGATGGAGCATCTTTTGGAACTCATATCTTTGACCTCTGAAGTACAGTCCACAGCTGGTTTAATATGAAAAATGAATTTTTGGCAGCCACTGAAACCTGGATCAGAATCATGAGAACATATGTGCACATGGTAATAGATTCACCAAAGTTAGATGTTTTTCTGTCATCCCCCCAAAGGCTGCATTTGATTATAACTTATGAGCCATCACCATTAGCAAGAATAGTTTTTGGTTGGGCAGTAATGGCCTTTCCTACAACAGGGATCAACATAAATTTTTGTAAACAGTATCGTATAATGAATATCACAGGCTTTGTTATTGCAAATGGATTGAATAAAAAGCCAGTATAGACTACATGTGAGTTAATGGACATGGATGTGCTCCAGTAAAATGTTGTTTGCCAGAGCAAATGACAAACTAGAGACAACATCCAATTAGCCTTATTGAACTTTGTGGAAGAAAAATCAGGAACTTGGAAGAAAGAAATAAAATTAGTATTCCTAATTTGATTAAGAGATAGAGGAGGAAGGAGAGGAGAAAGAGAAAATGGGGGTGGGGATCAAAATCCAGTAAGACTACCTTTAGGGTGTGGTCACCATTGCCTGCAAGATGGCTGGCCTCTTAATGTCCATGTATCAGCTTCCCTTTATGTGTTTGTCTTCCCTGATTTTTCTCTTGCAGGGAAGAGTCATTCTGGATTGTTCTCATGAGTATTTATGTTACTAAGACAAACCCCTCTGTCAAATGAATAAATAAACTGCATCTGGTTTACATACTAACCTTTTAGTATAACTTATCCTCTGAAAACTGAATGTTCTCTGAATAGCCTAGAAAAACAATTCCTGGTTTTCTTCCCTAAAGGTCAGCTGCCACCTGGGCTGTGGTGATACTGAGGTACAGTGGCCCTGGGTAGTTAGTTTTGAAGTTGCAAATCAATGTCAATCAGTTTACAGAGTTTCATCGGATCCCTGTTATATATTTCCAGACTACAGCATGGTTGTATTCCTCCTGCCTACACAGATGGTATGTCCAAAGTCACTTATTTTCAGTTGCCTCTCCACATTGCAGTATACAAAGAGGCAAAACCAAGTTATGGTCTGGAAAAAAGATGTAAGCTGTCAAATTAGGCTATTAATCAAGTGTTTAATCTATTAATCTACCAGTTCTGGTAGATCTCTCACTGTGGCGCTGACCATGCCCACTTGAGCGTGGTCCCAGGTGTGAAAGTGAGCGTGTGGGATTTGGTCTGGAGTCCAGGACAGGCTTTCTCTCTCTCTCGAGGTTATGGTAGGGTCACGGAGAGCAGCAGGGCATTGATCCTGGGTTATCAGTTTCTCATGTAAGTGTCTTCTCCCTGAATAAAATTAACCTATATCATCCTAGTCCCATGTATCTTAATTTGTACAACCACAATCAAGGGACCCAAAGAGCTTGTTGAATCTGCTGAGGATAATCAAGTGTTTGTTTACTTTCCGAGGTCATTCTAGGTAGGACATATCCAGCTTATGCAATGGCAGCAGCTTCCACACTTCAGCAGCTTAGCACATAATGACTCATTCTTGCTTTAGCAGTCTGCACATTGAGTGAGTGGGGAGGGAGGGAGGGTTCTATTTCACTTACCCAAAGACCTAGGCTAATAGAAACCCCACCATCTGGAATATCAACAGTTACCTCAACAAGGAAAAACTAGAGAATCATGAAGGGGCTTTTCAAACATCATTACTTTCTAACATCTCAGGAGCTAAAATATGGGTCATACATCTTGAATATTTCAAGCAAGCTTTGAAATACCATCTTTTGCATTTCTCTCACTGGCATACTACACAGCGTGGGTGGCCAAGGGACCATCACAGTCAGACATTGTTGTCAACAGATAGAAAGGGAGTCCAGGCAATGGTGGCACATGCCTTTAATCCCAGCACTTGGGAAGTAGAGTCTGGCAAATCTCTATGAGGCCAGCCCAGTCTACAAATTGAGTTCCAGGACAGCCAGGGCTGCCACACAAAGAAACCCAGCCTCAGAAGAAAAAAAGAAAGTGAGCCTTCCCACTTCAAATTATTTAAAGAAGAATAAAAGAAACCTCACAGGTGTACCCAGCTGCTTGGCTTTTAGTAAATTCTATATTAATCAAATTGACAACTGAGACTAGCCATCACAAGTCCCCTCTTTGTTAACTTGGTACACAATCATGCCTCCTTATGTTATGCTAATTTCCAAATGAAAACAATAACCAGGTCACAACGATGACTAACATGATAAAATTATCCCTCATACAACTGCAAACACATTATAAATTATGGAATAGGTGGCTATTGGAATAGCCACCTATGGAATAGGTCCCTTGAGGGACACTCTTTTGGTATTTCAAATTTTAAATATGATAACCGATGATATTCTCTTAATTGATGTTACATTTTAAGAGAAGTAGAATTTTTTTGTCTGTGTTTCCTGGCAGGAGCACTGCTGATCCTGGAACCAAAACTTTTAGGCCAGCAGAACTTAAGGTCATGGGAACAGGAAGGAAAAAAATTTTCCTAGTGGGTCACTAGGAGTGACAACGAGTGGATAATGCCCCTTTCCACCCATGATTCATTCTGGCTGTGGAAGAAATCATACTACATATTGAACACTGATTCAAAGTATATACTACCTTCTGGAGAGCCCTGCCATAGGCCTCCAGGCTGCCGTTACCAAATGGTGCTGTAACTGTGTCTTCAAAAGGCCAGTTGCTACAGGATGATAGGGAGCATGGTAAGACCACTGGATTCCATGACGATGGGCCCAATGGCATTCTTCTCTGCAGGTGAAGTGGGTTCCTTTGTCAGAAGCAATACTGTATAGAATACCATGATGATGATAATGCATTCAGTAAGTCAATGGATGGTAGTTTAGGCAGAAGCATTATGTACAAGAAAGGCAAATATATAATCAGCATAATTATCTACTCCAGCAAGAAGAAAACATTGTCTTTCCTGTGGAATAAGTGGTCCCAATGTAGTTAACCTACCACCGGATTTCTGGCTGGTTGGACTAGCAGGACCACAGCCTGCACCATCCAGAAGTGGACAGCTGAACCATTACAATTCTTTTCTGGGACAACACTGAAAGACATCAGTGAAGGGAAATTTTCACAGTGTATAGGACTTCGGGCAGCATGCATAGTCTTGCATTTGATCCCCAAGGAGAAATGGTCAGATGTGTGAGTGGATGTTGAGGGACTTGGGGAAAGCATGGTAAGAAACCCGGTGAGAAAGACATCTAAGGATGAAGGATGTGGATACATGTCTCCAAGTGAGTGAATGATGTGAAGATATATATTTCCTGTATAAATGCTCATCAAAAGGTGACTTCAGCAGAGGAAGAGTTCAACAACTAAGTAAATAAGTTGACTCTGTGGGCCCACAAAGTGGGCATGGTGGCTGAGATGGAGATGCATGGGCTTGAC